GACAATGTGACACAGTGGATAGAGATCTGGCGTCAGAGATAGGAAGACTTCCCTTCAAATCCTGACTCTGAAACACACTAGCTGTGTGATCCTGACCACGTCTCTTCACATCTCAGTGTCCTAGGCAACTTTTTACTCTAAATTGCAGAAGAAGTGTCAATCCACATTGGTAGAAATTCCTTACAGAATTCCTTACGTGGTTGAAATCACAGGTCCTGTGAAAAAAATATCTATTACATGCATATATACATATACATATCTATCTATCATCTGTCTATCTGTCTATCACATCTATCTATTTACTTATCATCAGCCTACCTATCTATGACCTATCTATTTACATATCATCTACCCATCTATCATCTGTCTATCATCAACCTATCTATGATCTATTTACCTATCATCTACCTATCTATGTATTTATGTATGAATGTATGTATGTATCTATCCATCTACCTATATGTGTCTATCATCTATCTGTCAATCTATCATCTATCTGTCTGTTTGTCTGTCTATCTGACTGACTGTCTAGCTGACTGTCTGTCTGTCAGTCTATCTATCTGTAAGTTGTTTCCTCTAATAAAATGTAAGCTCCTTGGGGGCACTTTTTGTCTTTGCATCACCAGGGCCTAGCACAGTGCTTAGTGCATAGTGGGTACTTAATAACTGATTGATCAACTGGTTCTAGCCTCATCTCCATGTGCCTGTCCCCAAAGGGCAGGCACTCCAAGATTCTGCCTTATTTATATCCTGATCACAAACCCTGCTGCCTGCCACTTGGTAACCTGAAGTGGGTTCACCTCAATCCCTAGAGTGCTCTGAAAAATGCATATCTCTCCCTCCTCTTGTGAAGCCCAAGAATCAGATCAGCCTGAATGCCCATTAGCTAGTAAAATCCCCTCTAAAAAAATAAAAATTAAAATAAAAAAAAGAAGATAGAAAAAATCCACAACCAGATTCAAGAGACAGATGGCATTGAAGGATCAGGGAAGGAAATTTGGAGTTTGTCTTAAAGTTCACTGTTTCCTCCCAAGATTACTTCCAGGGACAATAAATAGGAAGAGCAGCAGGGAGTAATCTGGAGCCTTACTCCAGTTTTGAGAAGGACCCTTGGTGGGTAAAGGGAAGGGGTGCCCACAGAGAAATAAGTAGGTAGATATCCCTAGGCTCGGGAACAGATAGAGCAATACTAGTTAGCAGAAGAACCCCAGAGAGTAAGTAAAGGGGCTCAAGGATCCTCAGTTCTCAAAAGACCCTTCGTCCTCCAGGAATCCTACCCATTCCCCTCACCCCAGTGAAAGTTATCAATCTCTCTCCAATTTTTCACAGGGCACTTTGTGTCTCTTTACCCCGTAACATTCCACCTTATGTCACATTTATCGTGTACATGTTGTAACCCTCTAAGTGGATCTTAAACTTCTTGAGGGTAGGAACATGTCATTTGTTACTCTTCCCCTCTCTCTACGGTACAGAATGTGCTTGTAGGGACTTGATGCATATTTGTTGAAATGTTGAACTGAATCCAAAATGCAGTGCTTCAGGGATAGAAGAGATGTACTTTCCAACTCAAGGAACACAGAAGCATTGCTAGAGCTGACTTTTCCTTGTTCTCAGTAAAGAAACCTACAAAACAGACCCTTTCCTCCCTCTCCCTGGTTATACGCTTCTCAGGTCTCAGGAAACTTTCTGGTCAGACCCATAAAACTGAAAGGGCAAGGGTGGCTATAGTACGGAGACCCTAGGGCCCAACTGGGGACAAAAAAAGTTATTTGAAAAAGGAGTATGAGACAGTTCTGAGGATATCCTCAAAGGAAGTGTGAGTCTAGGCTCCAGGAGGCTACTGGGAGGCCTGCATTATCTTTCTGGTCAATAAGAAGTCCTGGTAGCCTTGGGAGGGATTTTCTTGGTTGATTCTCAAAGCCTTGATGCCTGGCACTAAAGGAGCACCATGGAAATGCAGCTCTGGAAAGCAGTTTTTTTTGGTTTTGTTTTGTTTCTTCTTCTCCAGCTAGGGCACAGAGTCTCCTGCTGGGACTTGTCTCACTATCTATTGAATTCCCCCTCCTGTCTTATCTGGGTAACACCTTCCACAGGAAGTGTCCCCTTTTCCTCATGTAGGGACTGGAGGGGCCACGCTTAGCCAGGATCGTAAAGACAGTCAACTTTTTCCTCTGGAGAACCTTTTAGCTTGTTTCTACTCAAGTCGAGAGTAGATAGTCAATACCACAGCTAGACCATCTGGCAGGGATCTAAACATCCCCAGCAGTTTGGTGCAACATTTATATGTTGGTTCACAGCGACAACTTCGGGCTCCAGTCTGGCCTTTTCATTCTTCAGTTCCCAGTCTTCATTCTGTTCAAGGAGTCTCAGCTGCTATAACCAGAATTTTGGGTGCTAGATCTGCGCAGCCATACGTCGGGCAAATTGGGCTGGCTATTGGGCAGCACAACGGGGCTTCCCCCAGCGCCACCACGGCCCTTCCAGGAAGAGCTGCTCTGGTGGGAAGCAGGTGAGGTTGGGGCATAGACAGTTTCCCGCAGGGCTAGCCAGAGAGTCTCACGTTTTCCATTCAGCTGACCCCTTTCTGGAGCTGGGGACCTAGCCACATCTTGAACCTCTGGGGAGGAGACGACTGAATCGGGGACCGGGGCGCTGGGCTCTGAGGCACTGAGGCAGGTCTCGTCAGAGACACTGAGCCCCTCCAGAGAGCTGACTGAGGAGCAGAGGCAGTGAGGGGGCTCCTCTGCCTCAGCCTTGGAGGAATGAGTAGGTGTGACAGGCTGGCTTGTGGACTGTGGAGTCCCAGCGTCCAAACTCTGGGAATCCTTTCCAGCCCAGACTTTGGGGGCTGGACTACTCTCCTTATAAGGAGAGGAGGTCTGTAGAGCTGGGCACTGGCCAAACACAACTTGATGGTCCAGAAGTGGCTCCTGGGGTTCGGGCCTCAGAGTTTCCTGGCGGGCAGGTGGCGGAGGGGCCCGGGGATAGCAATGACTTTCTTGGAGCTGCAGATCTTCAGACAGCATGGAGGGACGATGAGACAGCTTGCTGGTGGCTGTGCTGGTGTCGAAGCTGTTGCTACGGCGGCGGGCTAGGGGCTGGAGCTCGTACTGTTCTATGAATGCAGCTGAAGAGACCCCAGCAGGCCCTGGGCGGTGGCGGGCAGTCTTCTCCCTACCAGGCTCACGGACTCCATAGTCCCGGGGCAGGCGGCCACAGGGCCAGAGGATCTGGCCACAATTCTTCTCAGGCCCAAAGAAACAGCAGAGGGACTGGAAGAAGAAACTGGCAAAGCCACAGCTGAGGCACTTGACCATCATGAGGAAAATGCCCAGCTTGCGGTAGAGCAAGACCGTGGCAGGCAGCATGAGCACGCCTGCGGAAAAGAGGGCAGAGGCTCCCACAGCAGTAGCACAGCTCATCTGGCGTAGGGAGAATGCCACTCGACTGAGCCGATCTGGATGGGGGCAGAGGTGATAGGAGATGCAGTAGTTCACAGTGAAGTCCACGGAAAGGCCCACGGCAGCTGAAAGGAAGAGAGACTCAGCAGCATTGAGCTGCCACTCCAGAAGCACTAGCAGTCCCAGAGTAAGCATCACAGTACCAGCAATGGTTGTCACAGAAAACAGACTGAGCAGCACGTTCCAGGTGCCCAGCAGGAGTATGGCAAAAGAGAGGGCGACAGCCAGGCCCAGGACGACCACAGGCTCTGTGCTCAGGCTGTGCTGGAGGCTGTAGAGGTCCAGGCGGCTGGTAAACCAACCGTTGCGCAGGCCACCAGGGGCTGTGCTCAGCTCTCCCTCGAGCCAGCGACTCACTTCAAGGTAGAAGCGGTGGGTTTGGCTGTAATCCACACTATAGTGGAAATTAGTCTGAAACTGCAGAACCAGGGCTACCAGATTGCCTTCAGCATCAAACCGAGGCCCCAAGTCCTTGCCCCCATCAGGGCTCTGTTCCATGGCCATCATCTTGAGACAATGCAGGAAGAGCTGGGGACCAAAGGGGAAGTGGAAATGGCCACAGCAGAGACCCGGGCCATGGTAAGCACACCGATGGCCAGCCATCCACCGCTGCAGCTCCTCCACAAAACAGAGAGTGGGCTCCACCTCCTGCTCAACATAGTAGAAGCTCTGATTGCGAGCCCGGTGGCAAAGTGTCAGTAGCCAAAGCTGGGCCTGAGGACCACGGGCTGAGAAAGTTGGGTCACTCACCAGAGTGCCATTGCTGCGGGGATCCAAAGGGTCACCTGTGTCCACAGGGAGGATGCCCCACACCATTGCCACAGGCATGTGCCCACCCTCTCCCTGAGGCAGGCGTTCAAACATGAATTGTTGGCGGTATTCAGCATCAAAGCGCTCAAAGGGGTGGCTAGGTCGGAAGACTTGTCCCCTGGGCATCGTCAGAGTGGGGAGACGTAGCCGTGGACTGAAGCCGGCAATGTAGGCCCCTCCCGCTGCCAGTGCGGCAAACCAGCAGATCCAGATGTAACGAAACTTAATGACGCTACACGGCAGCAGCCGCTGGAAGAGTAGATGGGAGGTGCTCGTTAGTGCCCGCTGCAGGGCACGAAGCTGCCGCTGCAGGGCCAAGGCTAACCTCCGGTGCCCGCTGCCACCCCAGTAATCTCGGGGCTGATCTGCACAGGTAGGGGCTAGGTAACGCTCATACAGCACCATGGAGGAGGGCAACCATGTGAGCATGAGAGCCAGGTTGACCAGCACAGCAGTACCCATATAGATGGCAAAGCATCGGATGGCAGTTAAGTGGCTCAGGTAGCTGGCATAGAAGGCGGTGCCTGTAGTGAGACCAGAGACCAAGAGCAAGTAGCCAAAATGATGCATAGTATGGCTGACCCTTTCGGGGAGCCCGGAGGAGGGGAGCTGGCTCTTGCTGAGGCACCACAGGTCAAAGAAGACCAGGGTGTGATTGGCACAGATGCTGCTGAGCAAGACAATAGCGGTCAGATTGACAAAGGGAAAATAGACCAAGCGAAAAGCCACCCGGTACAGGAAGAAGGCAACTAGCAGGGATCCTATCACCACCAGCAACACCATAAATGTGATAAAGAGGGAGCGGAGGTACAGGGAGATACTGAGAAAGATGGCACCGAGAGCCAGCACGGGGTACACTGTGTCCCGGGCTAGGTAATGCTGAAACAGCTGCTGCTTGAGGCCTAGGTCCATTCCTGTGATGGAGGTATAGTTGTCAAAGAGTTCCCAGGAGGAGGCCAGATTGTCCAGGTAGATGCCCATCATGGAAGCCCCCTTCATGGTAGGCAAGAAGAGAAGACTGTACTTGAGAGAGGGTACCTGGTAGTCAGCAGTCTGGGGACTCAGGAAATCCCGATCAACCAGGAAGTGCAGGAGCTGGTAGATGGCACTGACTCGGGCACACTTTTCAGGCACATGGGTACAGAGCGGGTGTTTCTCCCGTTGTGTACCCAGGCAGGCTGGCACCAGGGCACCACGGTGGTAATAAGGGGCACAGGCCCGTAGAAGAACCAATGTGCGGACAATGTCCCCCTGGGTGACGTCCAGGCAGGAGGAGCGATTATAGAGCACGGCGATGTAGTTACCTAAGGACCAGCTGGGGCAGCACTCATCAGCCGAGGTGCGCTGACATAGGTCCCTGAAATGGGCATGGGAGCGGATCTGCAGAGGGACAGCAGTGGAAGGTCTCAGGAAGTTCGTATGGCTCTGATGGGGCAGCCCAAGGATTAGACACATCCCCTTGCTTTCCAGAAAGCTACAGAGGAGGAGGCTGGAGAGACTGGGATTGATGCCCCCAGCTCCCACCTAATTCACCAAATGACCACCTGGCCTCCAAGCCTGCCCCTTTGAGGAGTGAAGATTATCAAGGACACTTGGACAACCCAATGAACAATAGGTCACTCTCTTGGCCGTTTAATTGGGGAGAATGGGATGGGAGGGGAGTGGAGGGAAGTAGATAGACACAGTCAAGAGTAGGAGGAATAGAGGTTGAGGGGAAGGAGGATAGCAGGAGCAAGATCATTGCTTTGGACTTTACATGAGATTTCACATTTAGAATAGGGTCAGCTTCGTCCTGGGAGTTTTTTCTTTCCCAAACTGGCCATCCATTATCCTGTCCAATCCTCACCCCTTTTCCTCCCTCTCCATACCCTTCCCTCCCCACACACCCAGATAGCTTACCTTCTCCTGCTCGATTCGACACATGGACTGAATGGCTTGCAGATTCCACAGGCTGCCAGCTGTGGTGGACATGAAGACCAGCTGGGAGTAACCCTTCTCTGCAACACAAACTCCAAGAATTTAACCCTTCGGTCTTATGGACCCCTTAGGACCCTACCACCCCCATGGGAGGTGGAGAGGGAGTTCGAATTATCCCTATCTCTTTGTGTGATAAGTGGGGAAACTGACGCACAAAAAAGGATGAGATTAGTCCAGGCTTCCAGGACAAGGAAGGAAGAGGTAAAAATCAGTTCTGATTCTTGGTGTCCTCTTGTTGCCCTTCTAGTCTTAGGTAGGATAGGGACTTGGATTTTTCCTTAAAGAGAAACTGAGGCTGACCCTATTGCCTCTTAAATGAGAATCAAATTGTTATTGGGAGTTGCAGAGTCCCTGTCAACCCAGGGACAGATCATTCCATACTTGTCCTTAAGATGAGATTTTTGGGGCATTATCCCTCTTTGGCATACCTAAATGCTCATTTGTCTAGTTCTCGACCCTTTAACTGGGTCCTATGTCCATGGGACATAGGGAGTTGGCCCAGGGGAACAGAAAGTAACCAAAACTGCCTTGCTAGAGTCAAGCAATTTGATAGTTCTTGCAATCACAAGCAGCTCTGGCCCCAGCTTTTTAAAAATGTACTTCAGGAGTCTTTTCTTCAGAAGGCAGTTGGCTTGGTACCATAAGTTCCATTTTTGCTCCTGAGGCTTCACTTCTCTTGCCTAGATCCTGTCTTACCTCTTCAACCTGTGCTTCTGATCCCTTGCTGCAGTCTGCCTAGGTCCCTTAATTTTGGGTTCCCCAGTCTCTTGAACTGTGTTTTTAATCCCTGCTGGCTAACTTCCCTGGACATCATGACCCCTTGCTTTGCAACCTGTCTCTTCTTTACCTCAGCTTATCCTCATGAACTTGACCTATGGCTTACCTCATAGTACCTACCAGTCCTCCTTATTTGTTCCTTTTGGTTTACCAGAGTCTTGATCATTTCCCCATGTCTAGCCTTCATCTGCCTCATCCTGCTATTGCCAAAGTTCCAGAGGGGAAAAATGTTCTGCTGCAGTGAAAGTGGACCTGAGCCAGGGTGTGGGGGATGGGTGAGGAAGGAAGGAAGTAGGGAGCATATGGAGAAGCTGTGCTCTGTCTAGATACTAAGTTGAATGGGCAGAAAATAAAAAGTGAGTACATCCCTGTACCTTTGGTAATAGGATGGGAAACAGCACTGGCCATAGAAGGCTTAGAGATTATAAATGTCCTATTTGGGGAGGCAGAGGAGGGAGCAAAGGAAGAGGCTGGGTGGGTTAGATTAAGGCAGGGAGGAGTTAGCCAAGATGCCACTCACCTGGGGGGCCACAGAAGAAGCCATCTTGTCCTCTGTCCTCCCAGGGCTCCACCATCCTATGAGGCCGGGCCAACCCTTCCTGGGCACTTCCCCAGTCCATGGGACTCATAGTGATAGAGCTGTCAGAACTGAGGTAGAGAGAGAAAGTTCCCATTCCAGGGAAGCCACCAGCAAGGCTAGGTAATGAGTAAGGGCTCAACTTATTACAGTTAACTCAAAGAGAGGGGGCCAAGGAGACAGGTCAGCTGGGCTGTGTGGTCACAGTTCCCTCAATGGACACAAAGGATATGTGCTTTTGCCCTTGAGAAGTTATCTGAGGCTGTGTGCATGTGCGTGTGTGTGTGTATGTATGTGTGTGTGTGTGTGTTGTGTGTGTGTGTGTGTGTGTGTGTGTGTGTGTGTGTGTGTGTGAGACAGAGAGAGAGAGACCATAGTAAGCATGTGGTCTTACAGGGACACAGATATCCCACCCTCCCCATGCCATGGCCCATACCTATTCAGGTCAGGGTCAGGGGTTAGTGAAAACACCTTCTTGTGGCCAGTGAGTTCCTGCACGATTCTCCAGACTGCCAGTTTTCGCCCAATGTCTGTGTCCCGAGGCTCAAAGCCCTGCAGTGAGGTTCACAGGAAGGGCAAGATTGATGGGGTATGGGGATAAATCCTCCAATTAGGACTCTCCTCTTTTCCTTTCCTTCCTAGTTCCACAAGCCACCAGACTCTCTCCCATTTCTCATTCTCTGGATCCCTGCTCCTCTAACGCAGAGACCAAAAGACATGAAACCCACCTGAATCACCCGATCACTGAGTAGCAATCTCTTTTTATCCTGAATGTTTCCCTTTCTCTTTAACTTTTATCCATTCCCTCTGATGCTTCAAAGCCCATTTCCTTACCCAGGCACCATTTTCCCCCAACTGACTCCACCCCATCTCGCTCTGCCTTGTGGGAAGAAGAGTTGGGACCTCCGTCTGTCCCTCTGTCACTCACCAGTAAGGGCTCTGAGAAGTCAGGCATCTGTCCCCTCAGTAGTCCAGCTATCGTACAGAGCAAGACAGTGGCCAGGCACACCAGCAGCACAGCCAGGGGCCACTCAGCAATCAGCTGGGAATAGCTGGAAGGGAGGGGAGCCAGAGCATGAGTAGTTCAGTACCCACTACTACTCTGGGACTCAGCAGAGAAGAGTTCCTCAGGGGCAGGGGCTGAGGGCATTGCCTGGTTATGTTGCTTTAATGCATTTCCCTAAGTGTGTTCAATGTAATCCATGATTTGACTAGGGATTCCATGAGAACATTTTAATGCTAATGAGTCCTTCAATTGGGAACCATTCATCTTACCACCTCAGTAGAAGGCTCGCTGTCTACCCTGAAAGGGACTGTGCCAAGCCACAGGCTATGCTTACTTTGCAGTTTCATTGGCGTTTAGGGGTCAGTGTCCATCAGGAAAAACACAGCCTTGGGCAAGAAACACCATCTATTTCCCTTCCTACTGCACATATGGACCATATATGCACCCTACCTCTACCTCAAAATATGAAAAACAGCAGAATTGATTCTTTAGCCTTGAGGTTGATTTTCAAGAACATTAATCCCTTATCTGTGGATAGCTAGTCAGAACACTCATTGAAGACTTCTGCCCTCACATGTTTTGTCAATGTGGCCAATGGTTTGGGAAATACTGTCGTAGGGGAAAGCTGTAGCCCAGAAAGTCATAGGTAGAACATGAGGTAAAACCCGGTAGGGAAAGAACATGATGACAGATATGAAAGGGTAAAGGAGAGCACAGTTCCTACCTCTTTGGCATCCGGAAAGCCTGCTCATGCCTGTAGATAAGAAAAATAACTAATTGGAGAGTTATTTCTTTTATAGGAATGGGAAGTATGGCATTAACCCTTTCAGTTAGTTCCCAGATCTCTCCGTCCAGGTCCTAAATCTTTCTTCCAGCTGCATTCAAACCTGTGTGCTCTCCACTTTGGAGCCCTATCCCGAGCATCTCTGTACCCCTGAAACTCCCATATCCAGGAGTTCTGAGACCTGGGTTCTCAATCTCTAGTTTAATCCCATGGACAGAGGGCAGGCTATTTTCTTCTCTGTTTCCCTACCCACCCCACCCTCATCTCACTCCTTACCTGACGCTTACCACATGGTGCTGCACAGGTCTGGGCTTCCAGGAGCCATCCCTCTGTGAGGGGACAGGGGAGGGGCTGAGGCTTGAGTGGTGGGAACACAGAGCAGTTCTGTCCCCAGGCCCAGGCAAGGTGTAGCTACCACGGTACTCCTGCTGGGCCCGGGGATAAGGGAATCGGGGAGGACCTGAGGGACTGGATAAGTTCTGACCCTGGGGTTGGAGGGCACTTGAAACTGGTAATGAGCCCGAAGAGATGAGGGGTGTGGTAACTGGGCAGCGGTGGAGAGGGCATCTTCTCTCCTGGCTTGGATCAGGCACTGGGCCCTCAGCCCGGGAACTGTTTGGAGAGGGAGAGCAAAAAAGAATCAGGATCACAGAGAAGAGGCAAGGAGTCAGTGAGGCCATCCCAGGGCCATGAATGTGCCCCTACAACTACAACAGTGTTGGAGAAATAGGGGTCACCACCTTGTACTAAGTCTCAGGGTCCTTCTGGATAGCTAGTCATTGTGGCAAATGGATAATATGAAGTGGCGGCAGGTGAGGGGCTCTGGTGTCTCTGTATTCAACTTAGTTTCATACCCCAGCCTTTTGCTATCTAGGAAAAGGATTTTTTTTATGGGTTAGACAGCTTGGGTGGCCTGAGTTTGGTTTTTAATTCTTTGAAATTATATTACTAAAACATACATTTGACCATGTCATGCTCAAGAATTATCAGCGGCACCATATTTGCATGTAGGATAAATATAAAATCCTCAGGTTAGCATTTAAAGCTCACCACAGTCTGGCTCTCACTTGACTTTCCAATCTAATTTCATTCATTCATTTATTTACTCACTCTCTGTTCTAATCAAATTGGCCTACAAGCTGCTTCCAACACAGGACATTCCATCTTCCACCTCCTACTTCTGCAAAGATCATCTTCTTTGTCTGGAACACTTTCCCTTCTTCCCTCGGACTCTTAGAATTCCTGGTTTCCTTTGAGGCACAGTTTAGGAGTCATATCCAACAAGAATATTTTCATAAGCACTCCCTCCTCCAAGGTTACTAGTTATCTCTACCTCTTAAAATGATTCTGTATGTACATATTGCGTCTTCTTAGTAGACTATAAGCTCCTTGAGGGTGGAAATAGTTTCACTGTTGTCCTCATATTCTATCTAGTACATTGTCCTGCATGTAGTGCAATTTGTTGATTTGAATTGAATTAAATTAAGTTGAGTGGAGAATCTGTATGATGAACCTGAAAGCTGACCTCAGAATCAAAAAATCTGGGTTCAAGTCCCATCTCTGACATATAGAAGTATTATGATCCTGGGCTAATCACTTAATCTCCTAGTGCCCCCAGGCCACCTCCTATACAGATAGATAGATAGATAGATAGATAGATAGATAGATAGATAGATAGA